AGGCGCATTATCCATTGTGCATTCCAGACGCAATAACGATCGTGCGTTCCAGACGTAATAATGATCGTGCGTTCCAAATGCATTAACAAGTGTGTTCAGGCACATTAACCAACTCAGTGTGTATCTAATCGTGTTGTCTATCCATCATTTATGTACTGTTGAACTGTTTGAGCATCTCCGTCATCGGCGATTTCTTTCAGTTATGAGACATAGATGGCGGTGTTAGATGCAAAAGATTCTTGAGGAAAATGCTCGTGTATTGACAAGATCTGTGTTAGATGATCAGCCGAGCTCCTTAAGAGGTTGAAGAGAGGATCGGTGGCGCCGAGGAAACGAGATTCTCACCGTGCAAAATAATAGTCTTCGTTGTTGAAGAGAAAACGGCAGCGCCTGCTATTCGAAGATAGGTGAGAATTCGTCCTACAAAGGGGAAGCACAGTGTGCTTACCTGGCTCACGAGAGCTGACTCAAGCGTCACGAAGAGGAGTATTATTCAATGTACGGCGGTGCTGCTAATCAATTCGGCAAGGCCGAATTCAAACAAGCTGGGCCCAGAGGCCTCCGAAAATACTGCCCCTCCCTTGGAACCCGCATTTACGTTGATATGTATGTACGCACTGATACGGAGTGTAACAATACACCCGTAAAAATGCGAATTTTAGCGATTTCTCCTATAAAACCTCCTATAGTAGAAATACAGTCACATTGATCATAAGGATCGTTAGACGCAACCCGGTCTAGTCGATTAAAGTTTACATCCGAGAAATGTGCACGCCTTAGACAGTAGGAATTGCGGTCGGTTCGTGACCGAATCACCTCAATATACTCGAAGTCTAATAAAAGGCTACACTACCATGAAATAGTACGCTACCGAGTGTTCTAGAGTAAAAACACCCCCGCACAGGGTGTTGGAGTTTACACCAAACCAGGGTCTCACTTTATTATGGATTAAAAGATATTAATTCTAAAAGATAAACGCGCGAGCGTAGAAACTCGACGCGTACCTGACGCGAGAAGTCATTCGGTCACGTGCTACGAAGCATGATCCAAGAAGTCATGTGG